CCCACTGGGGTGCCTGGCCAGCCTGGGTGAGGGGCTGATGGCTATTTGCAGGTTGGTCAAGACCCCCCACTGGGGACCCTCACCCCATGGAGGTTTGGCTAACCTGGGTGAGGGGCTGATGGCTGTTTTCAGGCTGGCCACGCCCCCTTTAGGGTGGGGTGGGTCCCCACTGGGGTGCCTGGCCAGTCTGGATGAGGCCCTGAGGGCCATTTTCAGGCTGGCCAAGCCCCTCCAGTGATGGAAGCTCCCAGCCTCTCCTTTTTTTCTTTTTTTTTAATTCTGGGATTTATTTACCTTCTATAATTGAAACTTTGTAGCCTTGAGAGGAGCTAAGAGCCAGTCAGAGGGGGCGGGAGGGAAGCTTGGCTTCCTCCATCGCCAGGGGGAACCCATCCCTCCTGCTCACTCCAGCTCCGTGGCCATGGCCGGCTGAAAGCAGGTATCTGGGGTTTATTTATCTTCTATAATTGATAATTGAAACTTTGTTGCTTTGAGTGTAGCTCAGAGCTGCCGCAGCAGGCAGGCAGCTTGACTTCCTCCATCATTGGGGCAACCAAGCCTCCTGCTTGCTCCAGCTCCGTGGCTGCCGGCCGCCATCTTGGTTGGGTTAATTTGCATATAGTCGCTCTGATTGGCTGGTGGGCGTGGCTTAAGGCATAGCGAAGGTACGGTCAATTTGCATGCTTGTCTTTTATTAGTATAGATTATTTATTAATTATTGTATTATTTTTCATACAAACAATTGTAAACCTACTTTTGCCCTGCCTTGTACATCTAAACAAAATCTCTGTTTTCCCCTCAGTTTTGAATAATTGGTTGGATATAGAATTCTCTGGAGCACATGATTTTTTCTTGCAATTTTAAGGACATTTCTTTATTCATTTTGCTGGGTAATATCTAGAAACTATCTAGAAACTCATGTCCTTCAATTTTGAGATAGTTCCTTTAATTACTTCTAGAATAATTCTTTTTATTTCTCTATTCTAATTTTATAAGATGCCTGCTTATTCTCATTGCATAGATATTCTATTACTTCGATTTAGGAGAATGTTCTAATACTCCCCACCACCCTTTTGCAATTTATTTGGCTTTTGGTTTTACATTCTGGGAGACACCTCACAACCTCCAACCCTGATAGTTGTTTTGTGTTTTTTTTTTCCATCTCAACTATTTTATCTTTTAATGTCCAAATCTATTATGCTCTAATGTGACATCATTTCTTGCTTGTCTGAGAATATTAAAGTTAGCTTTTGAATATGTTTTTCCTTTGGCTTGTCTCCATTTCCTCCAAGCTCCATTTGTTGTTCACCTTGACCTTTCATGGTCAGGAACTTTCTCAATTGAATATTTAAGGGTTGCACATACATGTGCAAAAAAATGTCGATTGATTTTTTTGAACTTGCTTAGAAACAAATATGCAAATTTCTAAATAAAATATTAGTGAATTAAATACATAGATTTTTTTAATACATTAGGATGAAGAGGAATTTATTCCAAAAATGCAAGACTGGTTAGATGTTATGAAAACATTAATATTCTCTAAGGAGAAAAATTATTTGATAATATCTGTAGTTGTGAAATAGTCACTGGACAAAAGTCAACACCAATTTGTGTTAAAAAATTACGTAATGAAATTAGAACTACTGGAGATGTACTTAATTCAATGAGCTCCATATGCACACGTGGTGCCGACATGTAAGAGGACTGTACTCCCTGAGGAAACACTCAGGCCCCCACTGAAGAGGGGACAAGACGAGGCTGTCTGCACCGATGATTGTTTAACCTGCTATCAGAGGTTTAATTACGGATGTGACTAAACAAGAAGAAGCAAGTACAGGCATCTCTGAGGAACCAAGGACCCTGAAAACACAATTTTTTAACATGCTCACCCCATTAATTATTAAACACACACATCAAGTTGTAGCAATTGTCTGAATGGGGTATCCCCCTGGGTGCACCCACAGAATAGTCCATACGGAGGCGAAAGCAGGTCTCGCAAGCCCCACACAGAATCGTGGGCGCTGGCCCGGAGCTTCCCGCCAGCATTGGGACCACTCCCAGGGGGCACCAGTGCTGCTGGCCCCGCTCCGCCCTCGCTGCACACACACCCTGCTTCCTGTTAGGCTTGTGGCTTGCTCTTGAAACAGCACTCATTGCTGGAGCAGCTGATCTCTCAGAGAAGCTTCTACTCAAATGATGGCTTCCCCCACCCTGGGTCTCCCCCCGGGAGCTGCGCTTCAGGCCAAAGTGGCAAATTCCTTTATCTGAGTCTTTAAAACTATGTTTCAATTCAGCCTCGGACCCGTCTTGCCAGTGTTCCTGTCCCAGACAAGCATGTGGGCTGACAAATGCAGGGGAGCTCGGTCTCCCGGCCCCTTGAGGACAGTCTTGGTCAGCCCCTGCCCGACCATTCAGCATCAGCAGAGGTGAGCTCCTGGCTGTCAGGCCTGCGTCCCCTCCCCTGGAGGGTGCCACAGTGGGCATGCCCAGCCAGGTGCTCACAGACCAGCAGAGGTCTCCGGTGCTGTCCCGGCATCCTCACCGGGGGAGCCTAGAAGAAAGCCGAAGGCTCTTGGTGCTCATCTTGTCTCCTTGGAGCCAGTCCTAAGCAACCTGCTTCCTCTCTGCAGAACTCTGTCCTGGGCAGTCGGAGTCGGTGCCCCCCAGGAAAGGGCCCTCAGCCTCCAAAAACCTTCCCCCTTCCTGCCCCCTCACTGTCCAACAGGCAATTCCAAAGAGAGAGCACAGCAGCTCTGTCCCAGCCTCACACCAGCCGGCCAGCAGGGTGCCCTGGGCAGGTCCTGCACTCACCCTGCCTCCAGTTCCTGGGCGTGGGCATGTGGGTGATAAGGACCCTCTCTGCTCAAAGAGCGTGTAACTCTAATTTCACACATGCTTCCAGTACATACTAAGCATGCCTGTCTTTCTTTCTGCATCTCGGAGAGCTGGATAGTCACTGGCTCTCGGGAACAGAAGCCACCATTTAAGGGCATCTGAGTCACAGAAGAGAATGACTTTATTCCATCAGTAAAAGTCATTCCTTGGTCCCCAGTGGACAGTGTCACACTTAAATTTAACTGCATTGCACACTAACTAGCCGCACGCGCTGGGGTCACGCAGCCTTGTGAGAGGGAGGCATTCTCGTTCTGCTCCAGGTGGAATGTGGAACGCAGAGGCAAGTACAAAGCAGTCCATTGGCCGAGAAAGGTGCTGCAGGGCGACCCACATCCAGTCACACAGGCGGTATCTACACAGAGAATGAGGACTGGAATCTTAATGACACAGACATTGAGACTTTTCAAACTGAAGTCACTAGGCCCATGGTTCATCAATACTGGTATATATTAAAGCACTAGTGGCCCGGTGCTTAAAGTTTGTGCACATTAAAAGGAGATTAATTAGAGGAAATATTTTAATATTGCTATTTGCCCTTTCTCTACAATAGAAGTGTCAGAGATGAAAGAAAATTAGTAAAATGTATATGAAAATCTTCCTGTCAGAGTCTGGGGTGTGCTATGGGACCCAGAGTCAATTCCCCGCCCAAGTGTGTGGCACCTCAAAATCACACAAGACCCAGACCCAGCCAGCCCCACCCCCATTGGGCGAGATCCAGACCCGGCTGGCGCCACCCCTGTCAAGCCCCGCTGGGTGGAGGGCATGACCTGAGATCCCCTGGCCCAGGCGGGGGGTGTGCTTGAGTCCCTGCTGGCCGGGGCACGGCCTGAGGTCCCCAGTTCCCCCATCAAGCCCACCAGGTGGGGGGGACGCAGCTTCATGTTTCCCGGCCCGGGGCGGGGGGGGGTACACCTTGAGGTCCTGTCAAGCCCCATGGCGGGGGGGGTACACCTTGAGGTCCCTGTCAAGCCCCGCCTGGCAGGGGGCGCAGCCTTCGGGTTCCCCACCCTGGTGCCAGGGTGGGGGGCATGGCCTGAGGTCCCCTGTCAAGCCCCACTGGGCAGGGGCATGGCCTGAGGCCCCGTGTCAAGCCCCACCAAGGGGGGGGGGTGCAGCCTCAGGCCCCTGCTGATTGCTCGTTAAGGCTCGTTTGGGGAACTTGGCCTCTGCTGTGGGCACAGCCATCTTGACTGGTATGCCGTGACAGTCAATTTGCATATTCCCTCTTTATTAGATAAGATATATTGAATGTATATATTTAATACACTTACTAAAAAATAATTCAATATATTTTAAAGCATACATAATAAAAGAGAAAAGCACAATTATTCTATTAATTCGAGACAATGACGACAGCAATAAAATTTCTCCTGACCATATATTTTCACATCTAAAACATGTAATACAATTTTTTACTGTTTTTAGCCAGTACAGCTAGGGCACGACACTGTAAGCTCTACGAAAGTTAAATCACTTGCTGACACTGGAAATCTAATGAAAATGTCACCTTAACTTTCAGCGACATGCGCTCAGCTGTGTAAGGCTCTGCCCTCGCGGCTCTGGCGCATTTGCACGGCAGCCTAGGCTCCCCACCCACCCGCACGGTCCTTTCTCTGTTTGTCACTCACTCTGTGCTTTCCCCGGAACGACTTGCTGTGGGGCATCACAAGGCCCAGCTCAGCTCCTTAGGGAGACAGGTATGTCTTCCAATGTCACAACTTGCACACGTGCAGTGAAGAGCCACCTTTGGCCTCCGGTACTTCTGCACATTCCCTCTGTGCACAGCTATTGCCCAGGGTAGCTGCCTCTCCAGTCTCTTTCCCCTCTGCTCTCGGCTCCCAGTGGACCCCACAGCTAAAACGCAGACCTAGCCCTGACTGGGTGGCTCATGGGGAGCGCCATCCTGTACAGCACAGGCTGTGGGCTCTATTCCTGGTCAGGGCATGTACAGGAGGCAACCGATAGGTGTTTCTCACATCATTGTTTCTCTCTCTCCCTTCCTCCCTCTCTAAAAAAGTCAATAAAAACATATCCTTGATCAATTAAAAAATTGATCTAAGTACTAATCAATAATAATAACAACAATAATAATAACAACACTAACAGAATGTTAAGTCTGACTTTATTCATTTAGTGCCCCTGAAGTAGGTATAGTTCTCATGTATTATAATTTTACAGATGTGCAAACTGAGGCACAGATCCGTTAGGAAAGGCTCCAGGGTTCACAGAAGTAAGCAGCAAAGCCAGGACTTGAACTCACGCCTCCTGGCTGCACAGCTCACACCAAACCACCATGCCATGCTGCTCCCACCTTCCGGCATCTGATATGCAACCTTTTAAAAAATCAAGCAAGTAACTACCATTCTTTATTGCCTAATGGCTAATATGATCTGGCACCCATCCTGCACATAAATATTTATGTAGAATCAACAAATGTTTTTGACCAATTTGGAAAGATCAGGAGAACTATTTTAATTAAAACCTGTGTTTATCCCTAAAGATACAAAGTTGTTTTGGGTTGCCTTTAAGAAGTTCCTACAAATAGGCCCAGTTAAGCACGCCCAGCGCAGGGCGGCGGCCGGGTTCCAACAACCCGGGCTGCAGCTGTGGCGGGTCCACATCGAGCATGGCCGAGCCTCGCCCTGCCCCGCGCTCCCCACGCCCGCAGCAGCCAGGTCCCGCCCAGCACTGTCCCCGTGTTGAGAGGTGGTGGCTCATGTGCGAGTGTCGGCGTCGGCACTGTGCCCGTCCAGTCACCTACTGGCTCGTAGAAATGCCAGTAATAAACTTAAAATCCTTTAGTTCAATGGTTCGCATTCAAAACTCTTACAGTGCCCTTTTGAAAGGCATGCGGCGTTTTGCATAATCCCCAGCCGCAGGCCCAGCTGTGGAGGAGGAGACAGGAGAGCCCCTTCTGTAGGTCCCAGGGTCTTCTGGGACCTCGGGCAGCTCGCTCCCGCGGCCTCCTCCGGGCAGGCAGCCAGTGAAGCTTCATCGGGGCTGGGAGCGGGATTTCCTTGGAGTGAAACGGAGGAGCCACCCTTGCCCGCGGTGGGAGCAGGCGCCTTCCTCAGCCCCCAGAGCTCGCAGCTCCCCACTCGCTTCCCTAAGGGCAGGACCCGGCCAGCACGGGCTCGGCTTCGCATTCCCCTCTGCGTGGCTGGACCGCTTTTGCAGGCATCAGGTAAAGAAGGTTTTTCCAGAACCTTGAGTTATATGGGAGAGATTTGTCAGCCTTCCACTTCAGAACTCTGTGAGATTTCAGAAGCTGTAGTGATTGGGGCAAGAATGTGAAGTCACTGACGGGTGTAAATTCAATTAAGATGATTTTAATTTTCCTTTCCACCAGCGCTTCATGGAGTCCACTTTCGAGTTCATACCTCACTTCGTTAAACATGTAACTTGTACTTAGGACAATGATCAGTCTTCGGCTTTGCTCTATCAGTGAATGGATTTCATCAACAACAGCTGAAAATGCAAGGCATGGATATTGATTTAAGAGAACTGAGAGGGTGAACATGAAATAAAAATCATTCTCTACAGCCTAACTGTATTCAACTCTGAAGTTCACAAATAAGTTTTTCTTTAAGATAAACCATGTGTTCTCAATTTTATATGCCTATTAAAAGCAATTATCAATTATCAAGGTAACAATAATAATGAGTACTTACTTATCACTTACTCTGTGCCACACCTTTTACTACCCGTTTTATGTATATTAACTCATCTAATCATCATAATGACCCCATAAGGAAAGTATCATCCCCATTTACAGATGAAGAAGCTAAAGCACAGAGTGGTTTAGTAACTTGCCCAGAGTCACACAGCTCGTAAACGGCAGAAACAGAACATGAACCCACTTGCTCTCGTCTGGAACACTGGTTTCTAACTGTTACACTGTCTTCCTTTCACACACCTGGAGGAGCATGCTAAAATCAGAATTTAAAAATAAAACCAAAACCTGCCATTATTTTAGACCAATGGTTGACAACCTTTTGGGGCCTGGTAGTAAATGTTTCAGGCTTTGCAGGTCATACAGCTTTTGTCACAACTCACTCTGCTGTGATGACTTAAAAGGCACCTGCATGGCCGCGCTGCGGGGCGGGTGCAGGCCTGGCGCCCGGGGGTAGATTGCCACCCTCCGCTCCAGACCTCCATCCCTTTCCAACTAGAGGCTTTAACCGAAACTCACCACCACTGAGGACAAACGTTTTTTATTTTTACAATATTTAGGAACTAAGAAAAAAATCAATTTTTCAAAATGGCTGCTAGAAAATAATGACAAAATAATAAAAGGCTGTAAAGGCCAGAGTGATGCTCTCTGAGTTCTAAGAAAGCGCTCACGCACACAAATATCACAGGGCTCCATGCGTCTGAGCATGTGGCCTGTCATTCCTTCGGGAAGCTGCTTATCATTACGCAGCACACAGCTTCTCCTCCTACCTGAGGAGGAGGAAGGCACACTCGGTTCTTGTTTATTGCCTCGTCTGCAACGCCCAGTTCAGACCTGGCACAAGGGTGGCGCCCAGAAGTGTCGAGAGGGACGGTGACCCGTGTCACATTGTTGGCGACACAGCAGCCCCCACGGCCCCCACTTCTAAATGTTTGCTCTGCAGACTTCAGAGAAAACATGGAACTGCTTCTCAATATCTTTGATTCTCACTGTGCTTTGCTTCAAGATATGTGTGATGGCCATTTGTATTCACATATAAATTTAAAAGTTGCATTTTATAACTCAAATATGATGTGAACCACCAATGTCCTTTGATTTACTGCATTTTCCCAACGTCCCTCTTCCCGCCGCAGCTCTCTCACCAATGTCCGCACAAAGGACAAGCACCGCCTGTCTGTGCTCACAGGGTCTGCTGAGCGAAGAGGCCTTCTCAGTGCTGCCAGAGAACCGCCTCCCGAGGGTGCCACTCTGGGCCGCTTCTAAAGATGCTGCCCCCCCCCCAGACTCCACCCCCTACGCCCCCCCCATCGCAGGGAGCTGGGAGGTGCGGGAGTGGCAGGTCCTGGAGGCCCCACAGGAGCAGCCACTCAGCTTCCCTCACTGCTCACTATGTTGACTTCCCTGGTTATTTCTGGCAAGAGGACCAGGGTAAATTGCTCGATTTTAAGCAAAACAGGGTTAGCCTAAGCTGTTCATCTTATAAAGAGAAAGCGTCTCCACTAGTTTTCTACCTGCCCTTCCCTTTCTCACCTCCTCCAGGTGCCACATCCCTCTCAAATATGCATAGCTTATACCCAAAGTGCTCCTCCAGCACCCTGGGCAAGACCTCCACAGCGAAGGCGCGCTCCTCCCCGTGCGCAGGTCCGCATCCCTTCAGGTAGGACACAAAGGCGTCGTATGTCTTCCCATCTAGGAGGTAAGGTTTGTTCCTTTAATTCGTGTGGAAATAAAAGTTTAAGTTCAAATTTGAATGAAAGTCACTAAAAACAAACATGGAATTATTGAAAAAGAAAAGTTAAATACGGCATCCTTGTGTCCACACACATCAAATTGTAGAGATTAAATATGCGCAGGTCTTTGTATGCTAATTATGCCTCAATGAAGCTGTTAAAAAAATAAGAAAATACTTTTGATAGAAAACAAATTGAAAAAAACAAAATAAGACTGTTTGGGTTAATCCCTAAAGTCCCTACATAGTCTTTGGTTTTATTATTCTTTTTTATGCATTATTCTTTATCTCTGAATTTTTAAATTTCAATAAACAATGATTATATTCAATTATCATTTAAAAAATAGCATCCTCAAAGCTCGTATGATAATCGAGCAATCAATTAGCAAGTGTTCTTACTTTTAAGCATGTGCATTAAGACTCCTGCTGTTTGACATCACCAAGGCATAGAGAGAAACGCATGTCACAGGTCAGAGAAATCACGGAGTTTAAAGGTAGCAGAGGACCAAGTAGCCCAAATGCTCGTATGTCCTAGGCCCAGGATTAGAAAGTACATGTCACCTCGGCTCATTCCACCTCAATCATCTAATCCCATAACCATCCCATGTTCACCTTCAGGACAGCCCCCAGGAAGCGGTGATGCAATTGGTTGTTACAAAATAGTCCTGGGATGTGCAGTACAGCCTGGGGAATAGAGTCAATAGTATTGTGTTCACCATGTGTGGTGCCAGGTGGGTACCTGAAATGCCAGGGGGATCACTTTGTAAAGCATGTGATTGTCTAACCACGATGCTGTGCACATGAAACAAATATAATCTAATATTTAATGTAAACTGTGATTAAAAAATAAAATTTAAATTAAAAAATACAATGCTGAGTGTTTACACTGGAGAGTGGGAGGAAACAGTAGAGGCAATTGAAACAGTGTGCCGTAGAAACCCACGCTATGACATGGTAAAATTTTATATAATGCTAAAGGCCAATAGGTGGAAAGGTTTGCATTGATACAACTGCTCCTGTTTTATTCCAAACAATGAAGCAATATTGCATATTCAGATGACTAAAGACACACTCAAGAGGAATGTGTTACCTAAAAACTAAGACCATTCTACTAACTGCTTTACTGAAAATTTATTTACGTTTCTTTCTTCTACCTTTATCCATTCTGCTAGAGACGAGTTCGCAGACAAATGCAACAACTTGAAAAGTTTACAAATAACACATTGGCAGATGCAACAAAGTGTAGCACAAACAAAACAAAAAATAACCTGGTCAGAGAATGCGGAGTCACCGTGGGCATGTGTTCTGAAAGGACATGTGTTCTAAATAACATATGCATGCGAGGGGCCCGGGGGGGAGAGGGGGGACACTCCATCCTTATCCCAGGGCAACTGGTTAGCTGATGGAGGAGTTAGATGTATGCTTGGGTCTAGGATTGGGATTGATGAATTTGCTTCTGAGTTGAAGACTAAATATTATTGGCTCCTTTATTAAAATTGAATAGGACGAAACCATCTGGGCCCACATTCTGTGTGGCACCACATCACCTGTGCTCAACAGCCGGGCCCCATTCTTTCACAGCATCCAGGTTCACAAAGAAACACAGTTTCTGGCAAAAGCTGCTTCAGTCCCACCTACAGCCTCTTGTCCTGCAGTTTGAGTCAGAACCCACCGTGGGTGTATCGTAAAGCAATTGCTCTTCAGAATTACATGCATGTGAATGACAGGACATTTTCATCAAAATTGCAAAATGATCATGCTTATCAAAGACAGGTTAAAAGTTGGTGACAATAAAGCCAGTTGTTAATAAAAGTACGTGGTCCTGGATCGTCTTGTCAGCTTGTCATGAAATACAGCTGTTACTGGTGTTAGGATAAGAGCTAGTGCTCCCATCAGAACAGTCATCACGCCAGTGAGTGAAACAGGCACCAAGATGCAAGAAATGAATGAGTACACCTTTGCCAACGTGTATGTCTCTCACAATCAGAATGTAACTAATTGCAATAAATTGGAAAGGTAAATCAGTCGAATTTACATAGTGATATACATGTGACATAGCTTTCAAACTCATTTTTAGGCACCTCTTTTCTTGGTTTAGCAAATTACTAATCTATATTATAATTTATTTTTCAACCCAAGGAATGAAAGTTTTGGTGGCTGTAATAACTGAGAAATAGCGTGAAGTGCCCAAGCTAAGTAATTTGAAAGCTGATAATTTTGTTCTGCATAAATGAAACCAACATGTGAATGGATATTTGGGACTACAAAGAGTCAGAACATGCTTCTTAGACAAAGTCTGTGTGGCAAGTGGCCATGTTTTAACTCAAGTTTAGTTTTTGTTGTTGTTGATTGGTTTCTTTCATTTCCAACTATTCATAAACCAATAACTGAACACAGTCTTGGATGGTGCAGCAATATAAAACTGCTGTATGTAAAAGTCTTAATTTTTGCACTCATTTCTTCATTTTTACTTTTTCACGACTTCTCTCTGTCCATGGATCACACTCTTAGCAGAGCTGCTGTGGAGACATCTCTGTCTCCAGGCACTGCCACCCAGGGCGCTAAGAAGTGTGAGTTCTCCGTGCTCAGCAACATGAATTTAAAAAAGTATCTGTGCATTGGGTCAAACTCAACTGGAGGGTAAATAACATCTCAGTTGGAGATCAGAAAGAGAGATAGTAGTGAATGTCCATTCTGAGATACGTACTGGTCTATGCATGTAGAGACCTGGCAATAAAATATCAAACACAGACCTTCAGGCCGGGCTCAGTTGGTTGGAGTGTCATCCATGCACCAAAAGGTTGTGGGTTCGATCCCCAGTCGGGGTGAGTACGGGAGGCAATGGATTGATGTTTCTGTCTCTCATCAATGATTCTCTCTCATCAATAAAAACACATTCTTGGGTGAGGATTAAAAAAATAAAAACAGACACCCCCCCAGTTTGTTGGAGCATCTCTCTCCATGGCAAAATCACACACACATGCAGATTCAAAGCTAAATTAATTAACTTTGCTAATTTTATATCATTAAATTAAAAGATGTAAATGTGAATAATCAATCTTTAAAAATCTCAAAAAATATAAGAATTCCTTTATAACTAGAGCTTAGGAGGGTCTCTCTACTGTGACCACAAATCCAGTACCATAAGAGAAAAATAAACTTGAATACATTAAAGAATATTTCACATAAACAAAGTCAAAAGACAAATCACAACCTGGAGACAATATTTGCCTTTCATCTTATAGATAATAGGCTGACATCCTTAAAATAGACATTGCTCCTAGAAATAAGCAAGAAAAGCAAAGCAAACAACCCAATTAAAAATGGGCAAAGGAAAGGAGTGGTCCACTGAGAAAGGAAATACCATGAGTGTCTAACAAACGCAAAGCTGCTCCTGCTCCTGCTCCTGCTCCTGCTCCTGTGCAGGAAGTGAAATGCAAACGAAAACCACACTGAGCTACAGCTGTTACCTAGCATTTTGCCAAACACCACAGGTGGTGGTGAGCTGTGGGGAGCAGGTATGGCCTCCTGTGAAGGCAGGAGGTTGTAGAGCAGTAGGGAGGGCAAATTGGCAATATTATCAAAATAACAACAATGTCTATCCTTTGTATTTCCACCAATTCCACTATGGGGCATTTTCCCTTCAATTGTACTGCACACACGTGAAATAATGACAGGACAAAGCCTGCTGTCACATCCTTTATGTAACGACAAAAGGTTATCAACAACCAAATGTCTATCAAAAGGTGACTAAAGCTCTAGCCGGTGTTGCCCAGTGGATAGAGCATCGTCCTGTAGACTGAAGGGTCCTGGGTTCGATTCCAGTCAAGGGCACATGCCCGGGTTGTGAGCTCAGTCCCCAGGAGGGGCATGAAGGAGGCAGCTGATCAATGATTCTCTCTCATCATTGATGTTTCTCTCTCCCTCTCCCTATCCCTTCCTCTCTGAAATCAATAAAATATATAAAAGGTGACTAAATAAGCAGTGGCACATCCACAGAAATAAACCTCTGCAGGGTTTTATTCTATGGATAAAAAATGAGAGACTTTATAAACTCATATGACAGGATATCCAAAGGAGAGTGAAGCACAGTTCAGAACAGTGTGCATTATACAGCAAGACTTATTTTTAACAGAAGTAGAACAAGAGTCATACTTGCTTAGATATACTCTTGGTGCCGGTGAGGTGGGAGCACAGGCAGGCTGAGAAATTTCTGTAAAATTTCTTAGACTGTGCTTTGAAATATGTGTGTCCTACACACATTCTAGTACATACATATACACACACATGTGCACACACACACATGAAAACAAAAGCAAGTACAATGGATTAGACTGACTTTTTAATTCAGTAATTATATGGAACCTAGAGGACTTCTCGCTGCCCTTAAACATAGGGGAGCCAAGACAGCATCCCCAGATAGAAACAGTAGGAAAACCTGGCAGCCCCTCAGGCACACCATGCCGCCTCCTTTGCAGGTTAGAATACGGAGCCATCATCCAATTCAAATCAACGTAAATGATCTTTATTGAGTGACTGCTCTGCATAGGGTGCCTAGATGGTGTGCAAGCAATGACGGTGAGTCCGTAGGAGCGAGCATCTCAAAGGGCTCTTAGGAGGACACGCATACGTACATACAGGAAACAGTTAGAGGGCAATCTTGGGCAACATCTAAGTACAAAAGAAGGTGGCACAGACAAGATGCATAATAATGATACATTCAGAGCAATTTTCCCTCTGGAAACCCCGACCACACATTAAGTCACCAACGTAATGTAAATAAGATGAAGATTAATGTTTCTTTATCAGGTTTCCTAATGAAACCATAGGATAAGAAATCCCAACATTCCGGTATTCGTTACCTGTTAATGTTTCATCTCTTCCCATGAAATGTCTATAAAATAGAGCCAAGTCAATCCTATAAATAACACCCGCAATCACTAGGCACACGATTCCCCCTGAGATCACAAGAGCTGTGACCATTCCCCTCGTGAAGACATGGCCTGGGATATCACCCCGACCTGGAAAGAAGGAGAGAACGGGAGTGATTAGTCACGGACGTGCTGCCGTGCTCCCCACCATCACTCTGCAGACGTCAGTGTTCACCATGAATACTAGCCCAGCTGCCCGCCCAGCGCGGCCCACCGAGCTGCCCACATCCCTGCCTTTCGTTTGGAGCAGTGATTTTTCTGCTCCCATTTTTAACAAATTAAAATGTGTGCAAGGCATTCAGAGACCTGAACTGAAAGCATGTAATGTCGTCCATCCCTGTTGGTGGAAGGTGGGCCTCTCGGGGTCTAAGATGCTGGGTGGAACACACTAATCTCTGGCCGTGGCTGTGAACACAGATGGAGGCGAGAGTCCTGGGAGAGCAAACACTAGCTATGATCTGGGCTGTCACCGGTTTTGTGTCCTAGGAAGTGTCACCGGTGCCCTTAACACTTAGTCCCTTAAGCTGCAATCGAAGCTAACGACACGGTGCTTCACTCAGGGGCTGCCTCTGAGGGGCAGGTTCGACGGGACCTTGCACCTCAGGAGCTGAGACCGCATCTGGCACGCAGCCCTACGGATGTTAGCGCACTTTCTATAAAAACCCCCTTTGGGGAAAAGTACATTTCTTAGATTGATTCAGTTCATGCTCAATATGGAAAATGCGAAATAGTACAAAAGAGTAAAAACTATAAAACAATTTTTAACAACCATCCCACAATGTGGTGATGGGCATGCTAACATGCTAGTATATTTTGTTTTAGATTTTTATTTTCCCTAAAAATATTGACTTAATTGGGGTCATAGGGTAATCACTCTTTCTTGTACTACACTATATTATGAGCAGTTCACTAGGTCTTTATAGTTATAATTCATAATATGCCAATATTTAGATTGATTGTAATGTTTATAAATATACCAATGCTTCAGTGAACAGATGCACACACCTTTATGCTTGTGCTTGATGATTCTGCTGGAGCAGGTTCTAAATGCTGAGGGATTTCCAGATCAAAGAGCAGCAATGCATAAAGCTCTTGACATCTGGTTACAAATGTTAGCGATGATCTTTCCAGTAAAATTGACTACTAGGATGTAAGTAAGCAGCCACATTTGCTAACTAAGTGAACTCCGAATAAAGCCAGTCCCTGAGGATCCTGGTCTGTGAAAGGCCTGCCTGTCTGTGACTGTGCCACGTGCACATGTGCGCGCACACACAACTTCACACGGCGCACTCCCGAGGGTGACGGTGCAGTGGGAGGCCCTGTGCCGGCTCACATCTGTGAGCAGAGCAGAAGGAGAATGGCTGGGCGGAACCCTCTGTGGCAGGGACAGGACATCCAGCACTGATAAGGGGGGAGGTGGCTGGTGACGATCATCACAAACCCAGGCGTGCGATGAGCACGCAGAAGCAATGCCGGAAACCCTCCCTGCACATGCCCGTGGGCCACGGCATGTGTGCCCCGTGAGGCGGAAGGGCATCGTGACGATCCTACAGAAGGCAAGGGCCCGAGCTCAGCAGTTAGTCTCATAGCCCGTGGGGTCACACAGCCCAACGGGGTCTCACAGCCCATTGGGTCTCATAGGGTCTCACATCCCATCGGGTCTCACAGCCCATGGGGTCTCAGGGTCTCATAGGGTCTCACATCCCATCGGGTCTTCACCAGCCCAAGGGGGTCTCACAAGCCCCATGGGTTCTCAACAGCCCATAGGGTCT